GCTACATACGAGTGTGATGTGGAAATCCAAGCAATCCCTCGGCATGCCACGCTCTAACACACCACAAGGCAAAGGCATTTCGGCCGGCGGGCTAGGAAAGTCAGCACAGCCCAAAAACCCGACAAAGCACCTCCCGTCTAAAGGCCGTCGGCTACACCTTTGTCCGTCTCTTTCGTTTGGAGCTGCGACGACACGGCGGCTGAGCCGAGGATTGCGGATCTACCGACACCGTATCAACCGCCCTCCCTTTCTCCATCAAAGTCCGGCATTCCGCCCAGGCCTCCCTCCAGTTCTCCCACCGGTGCCAGAACTTGTTCCGGATCATGGCAAGGCATACGTCCTTAGGACAGTCCTTCAACCTGTCCTTATCTTCAACAGACAGACCTATCACTCTCCCACGAGGTCCCTTGTGCGGCCCAAACAGCACATGTGATCCAGCGGCCAGTAATCTCGCGGCTTCCTCCGCATCTCCGAACTGGCTGCCAATAACAGTGTGCCCGTCTTTCTTCCGCTCGCAGACCAGTCTAGCAACCCAACGCCCATTCCAGGGCCGTAGGGTAATACCCACGAATCTCCCCTTGATTTCCTTGGACTTCTTTCGCGAAGACTGCCTCGCCTGCTCCTGCGGTGACGGAGCGCCGCCTCCGATGACCTCGGGCCGGTCTTCCACGACCATGGGCGTATCAGGCGCGCGTTCAGTACCGCTCGTCGGCTGAAGCGCTGACACGGCCGTGGCCATGGTGTCGCATATGTCATGCGTCTTCACAATCCACTGCTTCATGGTTTCCATGCCGCCTTCTACGTCGGCGAGACGACTCGCCTGGGTCCGTAATTCAGAGGCCAGGTTCCTCATCGCCGAAATGCTGTCCACGATGGGCTGCACCGTGTGGAGCGACTCATTTCCCGGCGCCGGTCGGTCAAATGGCGGTAGCGTCACCGTTTTGTTGTGCAGCTTCGCGGCTAGCGTTTGCTCCCCAGCATCACACATTAAGGCTCTGATGGCGCGCCGGTAGGTAACAATGCGGTACGAGGGTGATGGGATGCCCTGCACAAGGTTGTTGAATGACCGGGCCGCAAGCTCGGACACGCACACGCACACGAGTATGCCAGAGTCAACGTTGTAGTCCTGTTGCGGTACTTGGCTGGCCTGGACAGGTAAACAATACCATAAGACTGTTAATTAACGGATGGTTGGGCAAGCTGAGTCACCCATCGAGTATCGCATAGATAAACATATGCAATATGCCGTTCACTTACACGCAGTGCCCGGCAGCGGCTGCGACTAAGACGATTGGTCACATCCGACGCAGGGAGCCCCGGCCTCGCCTGTGTCAGCGCCGCACCCAAAAGCCTGCAGTCACGTGCTATGTCACACAATGACACATGATCTTTGGAGTCCCAGCAAGTGTGCAAATGGCATAAAACACGCTATGGCGGTGTCATCTGGTCTGACCAGTTTACGGTTCGGAAGACGGTGTGTGACCCGGCGACGTGATACCCAGTAGAATCGAAGAGCACAACCTGTGGCCCCACAGCGCCCAGCACTTCAAGCTCCTCATCAGTCTTCAGCAGCAACCCCGGATCCTTCACAACGATCAGGATTGCGTGTTTGGGCCCAGGGTTCCTCAGACACCTGGTCAAGCCAGTGAAACATTGTGAGCCAACATTTATACCGTATTGTTCCGGCACAGCTGAACCACGCCTACTTACTGAGTTACTGCCACTATGCATACGTAGTTGAACTCGAACAGGGTATCGCTCTTGATGCCGCAGCAAAGATGCTCGTTAACAATCGCCCGGTACGCAGAGGATGGCAGCGCCACCCACGTGCTCCCCGATGGTAGTTGCGGGTGCAAGATACTCAGAACGCTGCGCAAAACATGTTATGTACATAAGCACCGAATGCTTATGGTTAACAACGACGTTTGTAAGCTGGTAGATAACTCACACGTTGTGGAAGTCGATCGTTGTTGCCGGAATCTCACACCCGTCGCGAATCCCAAGAGCATCAACCATCTGCACGTTCGCGCTCTGCCCAAGGTGATTCGTGATCGCCGGTGTTGGAAAGTATTCGCTAGTCAATGTGGGCGGAAGTAGACCGCCACCCTCAGACGGCCCAGGCACTGATTTCGCGAAAAGGGACACTATGTCGTCGGGTTCCGGTGGGCTCTCCTCCACGTCAACCGTCACGGGAACCTCGAACTTAATAACACGCGATGACGATTTCTTGAACGATTCTGCATCACTTCTCGCCCGACCCAACCGCGGGCTTTTCCGCGACGTCATACTAAGGACCACTAGGGAGCTTGACCCGATGTCACCTGGCAATGTGAAGTTATGTACTCGTCGCTATGCCTTGCAGTCTAACAAGGAGAGGTGTTGACGCGATAGGTGCAAGCGTCGTGGGCCAGTGATGTGACAAATGACGGGACGTCCACCTGTTGTTTGTGATGCGTAAGGACTGTCACCGTCCACTATTGAGCGGTGGGTCACGCCGATATCCAATGAGAACCGAGGTGCAGTTGTTATCTCTTTCACGCGGGATTGACAATGAATTTCACGCGGGAAACAGGGGTAAACTGAAACACGGGTACAGTGAATCTGTACCCGTCACTGTACGCGTCGCTATTCTTGGCAGGCGTCCGTCACGACATATGGCTGTAGGTTGCTCTCGTGAATTAGGCTAAATCCTACACAAGCTTTGACACGATGTTTGGAAAGGACGTTATTTCTGATAGTGCAATGGAATGAAACATGACTTGTGTATGGCCCGACAGTCTAAGTCCCCTGAAGAATTAGCGGGATCGAGTAAATGTTGGATAAACGTGGCGGTTTATGTTGGCGAATGAGGGTGTTGGCGACCGAGGCGAATAAAGTACTAGGTTGTCCAAGTAGTGTTGTAAGATAATTGGTCGTTACGGGTGGATACAACTTATGTACATATCGCACGGACGAGCATTTTATAGAAAGTGGTGTGCGGGACTAGGCATCATAGAGGCAACAAAGGTTGAGTGCCACGTGGCACTAGGCAGTCTCGGCCCACATGGATTAATAGGATTGCGAAGTAGCTAGACATGATTGAACTATCAACGATTAGAGTGCTAAGCTGAAACCCGAAGTCCTGTACCCTAAGTGGCTACACCCACACTTGCCTACAAATATCGGTAGTGTTTTCCGTTGGATGGGTTGGTAACGCACTGCACAAAGAAGAAGAGTAAATCTCCCATGTGTTCCCGCGCCACTGGGTTTGTTTTCGGATGCAATAATAGAATGTACCCCATAGAGTACATGGCTAGTCTTGGTCGTTTCGAGTCCCTTGGTGTTGCTATTTAAACCACGTGTAAGCATGCGTTTGTCAATCTCAGTCATTTACATTCACTCTGACCTGAGTTTACAGTTTCCTATGCGACACAAACTGCGATCAACTCTGAACGATCCCGTTCGCTAAGTCACACTTCAAAATTGTAACACCTTCTCGAACCAGCCTTTGCCGATCGTAGTTGTCGTCTCAATTGCCGTCGCCGAGTTCGTTTGTCCAACGGCCAGCCTGGACGTAGATCGCCTGCTGCCTGCAAGATCTTGTTTAGGCGCTGTCAACGTATGTGACGTTGCGTAAATTCCCTGATACACTCTCGTACCATGGTAAAATTTGAAGTGTGATATTGCAAGGAAAGGATCGTTCAGGGTGGATCGCATTAGGGCTCGCGGCGGAAGTAATACACTCTGGTAATACCAAATGCGAAGGACGGTATTTGTCTCTCGCATGCATAAATAGGGATTGTATCGAAATACAAATCACCTGGTCACTCACCAGGTCAATCTTTCCAAATCAAACAGTTTGGATTGTTTTCCAATGTAGTAATTTTGGGACCGATTGTGAAACATGTATATGGTTTGGGGGGTCACCCGCTAATATCGCGCGATGACTAAACCGAACACTTCATGGCTGGCTACTTCGCGATGGTGACATGCCAGTGACAGCTCAGTGGTGCCCGACCTTGTGTACTGTAATCGAGTTACGGTCTTGTGAATGCCCCGTAAGGACCAAACTTGTCATTCACGGATTGGGAACTTGGTCATTACTATGGTTTGACCCGGTCATTCCGTTTCGCGTCGGAATGAGGAGACTGAGGCGAATGAATCAATATGCACCCACTTCTCGCACGCCCTCATAATGTGGGTTCTACACCCGCGGGGTGGATCCCTTGTGAGTATGTCGTAAGACCGTCAACCAACCCCTTGGCAGTTGGGCATCGCGGAACGCTCTCCGTACACGTGCGCACCGTGTGGATATTTACCCTTGTGACTTCCTGTCGCGTTCCTTTTTTGGGGCTGCCCCGTGAGCACTATTGTTGTCACCCAAAAGGGAATTGTGTAGCTTTCCCGTATCTCATGTTTCAAATCAATGTGATAGTATGGGTTTCGTATTGTCCGGCCTCTACAGTTGCGTGTAGTGGAACCCTTCGGGAACTTTGTACGTACCGCCACGGCTCTTACTAGAGATTCACGAGTGTTTCACTTATACGTGGCTAACGTACCGTGAGTCCAAACTTCGGTAGGTTGAAGGTATGGCTGGTGCCACGTGGGATGTGTACGGAATGCATACTGCGCTTTTGCGGGCTGTTAATGTGTTGTTGGCGAGCATCGCGTCAGGCATTTACATCGACATGCCAGTTGCCCCACCCCCCTTTGACAAGGGGCTGACGGAACACACACTGCTGCTTTGCGCTACTTTGTAAGGGTCTTGCCCTACACCTTCTGGCCTCTAGTCTCGATTCGCTATTATGTGATGATTCGAACCGAAAGCCATTATTGCTGTTATAGTTGCATGTAAGGAGCAGTCACCACTTCACAATGGCACGCTATGCTAGATGATGACGATTTACAAAGACAAGGAATGAAACACCCAGAGGTGTTTCCGAAGTTTGGAGAAGTCAAATTCATGCGGAAAGCCTAAATGTGTGCCAAAAAACACCCGCTTCCAATCATCCAGACATGAACTATGCATCCTGTGATCCCGACTCCACTTGGCGGGACGCACGGTCACCCCCGGCTTTTCCTTCAGCTTCACCTCGTGCCCTTTTGTTGGCCCGACCATCATCCTCCCGCAAGCTTGCCGTTATTGCAGCTCTCTTTTCCTCGATTTTGCGCATTTTCGCGTCCCACTTAGCCTTCGCCTCAGGCCAATAATTCCTCCACTCCTCCCACATGTGCCAGAACTTCATCCGGACCATCACCTCACACTGGTGCCTCGTGCACCCTCTGAGCTTCTCCTTGTCGGCGGCGGTCAAGGGAATGAGGTCCCCACGCGTTGGCTTGTCAACGAACATCACGTGCGACGCAGCTGCGATTGACCTTGCCGCCTCATCCTCTGATTCAAAGTGGCTGTTGATGACGATCAGCGACGTTGATGCACGGTCTAGGATTATCCTACCGATCCACTCGTCCTTGTCCAGCTTCTTTGTGACACCCGTCCACCCCTTGGTGCTGGGCACCTCACCGTTCTCCGCTCCCTGGGCCGTGGGAACCATAGATGATGAGGCGGCCGGCGATGGCAGCACTTGTCGGGACCCCTGCATGAAACCGGCGTGCATGGTTGCGTAGCCCAAACCACGTGACTCGGATGCTTGACCACGGTGGCAGCTGGTAGTGTCGAGCACCTCTTCAGTGGCGAGGAATGTAGCAGGCTCTTGCCGCGGGGGACGAAGGGTCGACAGTGGCAGTTGCCCGATGTCGTTTGGCTGCCCAGATCCGGGGTAAACAGCGTTGGGAGGTTGTTGTGCACGGCCAATCGGCCATGAATGTGCGGCGGATGCTGTGGCGGCCGGCGGAACAGCACCGGCCTGCTGCGCAAACCCCACCGCAGCTGGGGCGCGTACACCATGAATATGCGCTTGGGGGGGAAAGGCAGAGGGGGCGAAGAAAGGTTCCCCCGATGACAATACAGACGATCCCCTATGAGGAACAGGTGCCCTTGCAGTGTCAGCCGCTGCATCCGACCATTGAGCACCCTGTACTTGCACACCTCGGTGAAACATTGTGAGCTCCGTCGGGGGTTCCAGTAGGTCCCATGCATCGTTTCTGGGCTGGACCACAGCTGCTACGAATGGCCGCACCGTTGGGGCTTGAGCCCGTGCGTCTGCGCCGGTGGGCCTGACTGTCGGTCCGGGCGCGTATGACACAGGATCCCACGCGGTCGCGTCTTTCTGCGCATGTGCAGGCGTCGGTGCTACGCTGACAGCACCTGTCTGTGATGCGGCCGCTGACTGAACACCATGGCCTGCAGGAGGCTGAACACCCATTGATCCACCTGGCGGTCCCGCGGCAGTAGCTGGAACATTGGCCGCCCCACCCCCTAAACTCGCGGCTCCATCAGGAACCCCGCCTGCTGCCGTTGCGTGGCCCGCCGATGCTGATGGTACACCAGTTGCTGGACATGCCTGACCCGCGGCTGCAACTGTCAGACCAGTGGCTGGGGCTGCAATCCCGGCTGAGGCACCTGGCTGGCGCAGTGCATCAGCCGGAGCCGCTGAAGCGCGGAGAGATCCGTCTCCGATTCCTGGCAGGCCACATGCCGCTGTAGTAGCACATGCTGCAGCTGCCGCCGTTCCATGCGTGGTGCTAGAAAAGACGGCCGGGAGACCGGCGGGAACCGCCGAGGACTTTTGTAGGCCGGGTGTGGCTCCGCGGCCTACACATAAACCTGGTGTCGGCGCTTCAATTGTTGCAAGCGCATGTGACGCGTCGGAGGTGGAAGCGTGGGGAACACCGCCCATGTTCACGGGAGCTTCGGTTGTGGTTCCGGCCGTGCGCTGGGGCGGGGGGGCTGCAGCGGTAGATGCGGTGGGGTTGTCGTTGTCCAAATCCTCAGGGCCACCCGTCGGCAGTTTGAACCCGATCTTGGCGGCCAGCTGCTGGAAGGCCGTGAAGAGTGACGACAGCGACGTAGTCACTTTTTCGAGCCCCTGTTCTCCCTTGTAAACGGCGTCCTTGAGAGCGTCCATGTCTTCATGCAGGTTCTTGAGCTGTGCAGCATGGGAACACTACTCCGCGGCCACATCTTGAATGGTTGGTTCCTTTATCTCAACAACTCCCTGGTCGCTATCGCTCTCCTCCCCCCCGTGCTGGTCACTCTGAGGGGGAATGTCGGCCCCCTTCAATTGCAGCGTTTCTAGCAGTGTTCCTTCACCGGCCTCGCACATCAGAGCACGAATTTCGCGCCTGCATTGCAAGGCACTATAACGTGGATGGGCGATCCCGTCTTCCATGAATTGGAAAGCTCGGCCCACAAGCTCCTTCTCGAACATACACACATACACACCGCAGTCCACCCCGTTCTGTTGCTGGGCCACCTCGAAGTACTGCAGGTACAGCAATTAGAGAAACATTCATCACAGTCAATACTTGAACCCGAAACCGAGACATGCATTCCACTGGCATCTGGACGGCAAACACACTTTGTGGAGATACTCACTTCAAGCGCACGGCTGCTCACGCGTGAAACCCTTTCTGTCACAACCACCCATGGCATGTCAGGGTTGGCCTTTTTAAGGGCCCTCATAAGCAGCCTGCGGAAGCACAACGTGGTTAAGGGGATTATGATACCGAGGATTAGAATCACGGGCAAAGGTACCGGAGACAAACCCCAGTGGTATACGCATCACGCTGAACTCACTCGTTGATATTTGTGAAGATTGCCGTGCACATGTCGAAGTGGATGCGCGCTGAATCGTACAGTACTGCCTTTACTTCTGATGGTGGCGTCAGGGCATCGTATTCCTCCTTGGTAAGCATCAGCAGACGGGGGTCCTTGACAACAACCAGGCTGAAGTGTTGAACTGGAACTCTGCATACAACCACGGAGCAAAAGGGAGGTTGTGTTATGCATGCTACAGATCGGAACTCCAGGATGTAGAAGACGAGGTCGATGACATCCGTAATCTTTTGAAATCTTACTTGGTGAACACCACGATGAACAGATAGTCGTGCTCGAAGAGAAGTTTGCAATCGACGCCGCATGCTAGCTCCTGCCCCCCGGTGACGCTTTGGTAGGCGAGGGTGTCAAGAGCCAACCAAGTTTTCCCGTCAGGCAACTTCCTGTTAATAAGGCTCAAAACCCTGGAACAATCAGAACAAGCAACGGCATTAACGTGTTGAACAGGTATAAGTACATCAGTGCGGACGCTGAACGTGACTCAGACGTTGTAAAAGTCGATGATAGACGTTGTCAGCTCGTGTCCATCCTGTATGTGGAGAGCATCCATGATGGTGACCGTCGCTCGCTGGTCGTGATGGTTTTTGATCTGACGGGAAGGGAAGTGGTCACTTTTGACCGACTTTGGTAGCTTCTCGGTCGCCGTGTCAGGAACTCTGACCCCCTTAGCGAACCTCGATATAATGTCCTCTGGCTCGGGCAGCACGTGCACGCCTTCAACTTTAAAGGGAACCTTTAATTCAGGGCACGGAGCCTGCTTACTACCGCTCGCTTCCTGCCTGTTACGGTTCGTTCGTTTCGCCCGCGCGACGGGTTGCTGGCTACTTGCGGCTTGTTGGGCCTTGTTGCGTGCGGAGAGCCTGGTCTGCGTCATGGTGCTTTGACCCACTGATTAGTGCGTGAATACAAGGAGCGGAGGATGGTTAGAGCAAGAAAGGAGAACCCTATGCTACGCTTATAGACTACGATGAATCAGAAATAAGCGCAACAATGGTGGCCTCTCAATTACGGCAAAACTCATGGCTCACGAGATGGTGGAAATGGTGACTGGGTGCTTACGAGATGTTGACGGGGGGGAAGCAGTGGAGGAGTAAAGACGAGGGAAGAACGGACTGTTGCTGGCGTGCATGCAACGGTGCTTAACCCGCGAAATGAAGTCCTATGTGGCATGCTGTGATTGAATGTAACTCTGACATTGAATGTTCTCGACTGACCAGCAATGGAAATTCGTGCACGCGTGCTCAGGAAGATATTTCGCGCTGACGTTCATGATTGCCGCCGCTACATTGAAAGTGGTGGGGGACAGCGCACACAACATGCCAAAGATGTAATGATGTGTGCAACATTGACAAAGAAAATCACGCCTGCCCACGAAATCAATGAAAGTGTAGAAAAATGAGTTTTGATGGGGAAAACTGACCGCGGGAATCGGGCGCGGTCGCGTTAGGGGGGGAGTGGGAAAACCACTGCCCATTGGAATAGGGGTCGAGCAAGCACCGCGGTTCGTCATTCCCTCCTTTAGGAATGTAGCGAAAGTTCCGGAAGCGGCTCGGAAGAGGTTCGGGGCGAGATTGTAGGTCGAATCAGTTGAAGCGAACTCTTCGGGACATACATGTTATGAATGAACTTGTCAGAGTGCGCGGATATCGAATAACGAGAATGAGAAATTACAGAATGATTGAACAATGAAGTAGCGAGGCCTAAATAGGGGAAAACCTAGCTAGGCGGGGGGTTCGGGATGGGATGGCTCGGTGATGGCCACGATTGGAGCGGAGGCCGACTCGGGGGTGGTTCGGTGCGACGAAATAGGCATCGCAGGTTCGTCGCGACACCCTCGGGATGTCCTCGCTAACAACTTACTACAGTAAGGAATTCTAATTCCTTACACTCTCCCACCTTCCAAATAAGCCCTCCCTGTATGTAGACCGAAGCCTTCCGTAATGAGTACGACGTTTATCTCCCTTTCAGCTGAATCCGACGGCTGAAATCCCTTGGGCGATATTTTTGAAAAAGTTGGAATGTAGGCCGTTGATGTAGTCAGGTCTCGATCTGACGGTCGAAGATGAAGTGGACCAATTCGAATTGAAGGTTGGAAACAGAGCCGTTGATCGAGCAGATGTTGATCGGACGGTCAGAGCTCGCGTTGACCGCTGATGATTTCAAATGTCGATCTGACGGTTGACGGTGACGCGGATGTGGAGGGAACCAGCTGACGCGAATTCAAACGCGATTGAGCAGGAACCGTAGATTGTGTCGGTGCGATCGCAATCGTCCGTCGTGCTGACGCAACCTGACAAAGTCAGAAAAGGACCAAGAAAACGCCAAGGAAGAAAACAGTGCAAAGCACTTTCTCCCCCCCTCCAAGAAAATGGCACCAGAAAAGTTCCCGCAGCTGCGCCGAGATGAAAACACACAAAAATCCAGGTGTTAAGTCCCACGAAGAAAGCCGTTGAGCGAAGAATGCCGGGTGAAGTTGCGTCGGTGTGGAAATTCTGATGACGAAACTGTCAAACTATATGTGCTGCATATTGTCTAGGCTGTAGTGGGGTAGCCCATATGGAGTACAACCTAGTTAGGGTTTACTACTTGTACTCCTGCATCCTGTTAGTTCATCCATTCCTGCTGCTAGATTCTAACATGGTATCAGAGCACTAAGGTCCGTAGGACCGTTTTTTTTTTTTTTTCGGGCCCACCTACCGCTGCGGTTACCGCGCTACCCCACGTAGCCTTGCCTTGCCTTGTATGCCTTGCCTTGCCTTGCCTTGCCTGCGCGCTTCCCCTAGAGGCCCGTAAGGCCCGCGCACCTCGTAGTCTGTCGTCCTTCCTCTGTTCCGCAGCCTGTTCCTCTGCCGTCTCCTCCTGCGTCCTCTTTGCCTGACGTTCCGGACCCTGCGTCTGACCGGTTTCGTGCTCAGCACCCTACTGTCACGCGTCTACTAGCCACAGTTGTCACTGACCCGTCGTTTGAGTCTGCTGCTGCGTCTGCTCTTGTCGCTGAGCTTGTTGACTTTGCTGCTGCCTGTCGTCTAGACTTCACTGCCAGTCTTGTTACTGAGTCTGAGTCTGTCTGTCCTCCGTCCGTCGGGGGTGAGTGTGCTCTTAGCACGGACGTCCTTGAGGACAGGCAGGAGGAGTTCCAGTGCCTTGCTGCTGCTTTACCTCATCTTGTGTCCTCGCTACTTGCCCCTGAGGGAGACCCGGATGCACCAGACATCCCGACTCCGCGCTCTTACGCAGAGGCGATAGAGGGTCCCTACTCCTCTCAGTGGCAGGCAGCCATGGACGCAGAGATGGCTTCCTGGAAGTCCACAGGCACCTACGTTGACGAGGTTCCCCCACCTGGGGCGAACATCGTCAGTGGCATGTGGATTTTCAGGGTGAAGCGGCCGCCGGGTTCTCCGCCTGTCTTCAAGGCGCGTTACGTGGCTCGAGGCTTCAGTCAGCGAGAGGGAGTTGACTTCTTCCAGACCTTCTCCCCCACCCCGAAGATGACCACTCTTCGGGTGCTGCTGCATGTTGCTGCTCACCGTGACTACGAGCTTCACTCTCTTGACTTCAGCACAGCTTTCTTGCAGGGCAGCCTGCACGAGGAGATCTGGCTGCGCCGCCCCCCGGGCTTCACTGGGTCGTTCCCTCCTGGCACCCAGTGGAGCCTCCGGCGGCCGGTCTACGGTCTCCGCCAGGCGCCACGTGAGTGGCACGACACACTGAGGACTACGCTTGCGGCTCTTGGGTTTGCGCCTTCTACTGCTGACCCGTCGCTGTTTCTGCGCACCGACACTTCCCTGCCGCCGTTCTACATCCTCGTGTATGTCGACGACTTGGTTTTTGCCACTGCTGACACTGAGGCTCTCGCCCACGTGAAGTCGGAGCTGCAGAAGAGACACACGTGCACAGACTTGGGTGAGCTGCGCAGCTACCTTGGCTTGCAGATCACCCGAGACAGAGCACGTCGCACCATCACCTTGACTCAGTCACACATGGTGCAGCAGGTCCTTCAGCGCTTCGGCTTCACCTGGTCTTCAGCACAGGCCACTCCTCTGGCTACAGGTCACACGCTCTCAGCTCCACCTTCGGACGAGTCCGTAGAGCCGAGTGGTCCTTACCCAGAGCTAGTCGGCTGCCTCATGTACCTGATGACTTGCACTCGACCTGACCTCGCATACCCTCTTGGTCTCCTGGCTCGCTACGTGGCTCCTGGTCGGCACCGACCTGAGCACATGGCTGCTGCTAAGAGGGTACTGCGTTACTTGTGCAGCACATCAGGCATGGGGCTAGTGCTTGGAGGGA